CCACACCCCCTGACATCAGGGGCCCGGCGGTGGACCTGCAAGGCCAGCGGGAGTGCGAGGAAGCCCCGCCAAGGCCCTCCCTGGCCCCAGGCAGGCAGGGGTGGGGAAAGGCGGGGAGGAAGCAACTTACCCTCCCTCTTCTCCTGCCTCCTCCTGGCTGAATGAGGGCTGGAAGCGGGGTGGCTGGAAGCAGGGGGCGGGGCTTCATCATGTGCCCCGCCCCCTGCACCTCACCCGGGGGAACTGTGTTCCCCCGCATTCCCCCCCGAAATGACCTCTGTGTTTATCTAATTGCCTCTTGAAGCCATCTATGTTTGTAGCCGCCGCCACTAGAGCATCTATTCTTCGGCGCTCGGCCTTCCTTGTGGTCCAACTCTCACAGCCATACATTACTACTGGGAATACCATTGCTTCGACCATATAGACTTTTGTTGGCAGGGTAATGTCTCTACTTTTTATTATGCTGTCTAGGTATATTTAGATATCACTAATAATTAGATATCACTAATTCTCAGCCACTATGCTATAGTACTCCAGACATCTGCATGAAACTTTGAGTGTGATAAGATGCCAATTGCTTGTAAAGGAGAGCTAAGAGCTAAGAGAGCTGATCTGTATCTCCAGAATGTTAAACAGATATCCAAACAATTGAATACTGTGTTAGTGAGGCTATAGATATTATTCCACTTCAAACAGTATCATTAATAAACTGATTGAATTGTGCAATTCCACATTCATTTGTTTGTAAGCATAATTTTCATTTAGTACCCTTGTTACTTACTACACTCCAGTATGACTGCCCTAAATATTTGGGTGCCGTGTATGAGGTACAGCCTACCTGCTCTCTCCCAGGACATCATTACAATGCAAATCTGTGGGTTTTGAAATATCGCCACCATGATAAAGAACTACAAGTAGAATCTGAACTACGAATCCCATGATACACTGTCTCTTACCAACAAGGGCATGTGTTACACCAAGTCAGGACTACAATTCACTGGTTCCACATCATGGCTCCTATAAACTGTATGCTATAAAGCACTGATATAGTAAAGGCCAAGGCAGTTGTATATAGGCTATGTGGCTCCAA